AACTCCCAAAGCCCCTTAAATACTCAACAATAAAAGAAGTCAGAGTTCACACCATTAATCTCAGCCAAAATATATTCGTTTCATTTTTCAATGTAGCTACTGGAAAATAACTTATCTTTTTAATAGACACAGGTGCAGAAATTTCCATTTTAAAAGAAACTTCGGATAACTTCCAAAACATCCAAGATGATTACATCATAGACATAAAAGGCATAAGTCAAGAAATAACCAAATCCCAAGGTTTAGTTTCTATGGAGATACAGACAACTAAATACATAATTCCACACGATTTTCATATCGTAAATTCACATTTCCCTATTCCATGCGATGGAATATTAGGCATCGACTTTATTAAAAAATACAACTGTCAATTAGACTTCAAGCCATTTGAAGATTGGCTTATAATTAGACCCAATAATTTAAAATTTCCAATTAATGTACCAATAGCTCATAGTTCTGGCAATAATTCAATACTTCTGCCAGCAAGATCCCAAGTCTCTGACGGGATTGTCGAACCGTCAGTATCCGAATATAATAGCCCATTGTTACTTGTTCCTAAGAAATCATCCCCCGGGTCAAATGTAATAAAATGGCGATTAGTAATTGACTACCGCCAGATTAATAAAAAATTACTATCTGATAAATTCCCATTACCTAGAATTGATGATATTTTAGATCAACTAGGTCGAGCAAAATACTTTTCATGTCTTGACTTAATGTCAGGATTCCATCAAATTAAACTAGAAAAAGGTTCAAGAGATATAACGTCTTTTTCAACGAGCAACGGCTCATATCGCTTCACGCGATTACCCTTCGGATTAAAAATAGCTCCTAATTCGTTTCAGAGGATGATGACTATTGCGTTCTCTGGTCTAGAACCTTCTCAAGCATTCCTTTGTTTGGATGACTTAATAGTAATTGGTTGTTCCGAAAAACATATGCTTAAGAACTTAACAGATGTTTTTGAGAAATGTAGGAAATACAACCTAAAGTTACATCCAGAAAAATGTTCATTTTTTATGCATGAAGTGACTTTTCTAGGTCATAAATGCACTGATAAAGGAATACTTCCAGATTGCAAGAAATACGATGTCATTATGAACTACCCAGTTCCGCACGACGCGGACAGTGCTAGACGTTTCATAGCATTCTGTAACTATTATAGACGTTTTATAAAAAATTTCGCCGACTATTCACGGCACATAACAAGATTATGTAAAAAGAATGTTCCTTTTAAATGGACGGATGAGTGTCAAAATGCATTTCAATACTTAAAAACAAAACTTATGGAACCTACCTTGCTATAATATCCAGATCTTTTGTTTCAACACGACCCCCTCTATGGCACATACTTATTGTCCATATGATTTAGTATTCGGTAAAACAAGTAATTTACCGAAACATTTTAATAGCATAGACAGTGTAGAAGCACTATATAATATAGATGACTATGCTAAGGAAAGTAAGTATAGATTAGAAGTAGCCTATAAAAGAGCTAGAGTTATGTTAGAAGCAAATAAGAATAGAAATAAACTAATATACGATCATAAAGTAAGGGATATAGATATATCAGTAGGTGACCAACTTTTATTAAAAAACGAGACAGGTCATAAGTTAGATCCTAAATATACAGGTCCGTATAAAGTAACGGAAATAGGAGAAAGAAATAACATTATAATAATGAATAACAAAAACAAAAAACAAAAAGTTCATAAGGATAGATTAAAAACGTTTATTTCATAATTGCATTTAGCATGGCCATGCTTAGAAATACTTCTTTCTTAAATAAGAATACTATTATAAATTCCAATCTCTTTATATCAAAAAAAAAAAATTAAAAAAAAAAAATTGTAATAAAAAAAATTATTATTATTCCTTTAAGTAAAATATACCAATAAAATAACGTCATAATATATTACTTTATTTATCAAAAGGAGGGAGATGTAGTATGCGCATATATTGAATATCTTCTGTAAACACACTGTAACACTTTGTTGCAGTGCATTCATAAAGGCCCGGTCAAAAAACCCAAGTGGCCGAACACGAGTCGATCGGCGCGCTCACAGAAAGTGCAAGTGTCAGCATTCTGTTACACGCGCCGGCCGAACTCAAGTGCATGCATATACCCTCGCGCTCCAGCTTAAGAGAGCATAATTTAATACATATAATATATAGGTACATAGCCGTCTCTCTGCCGCCGCCTGCGAGCAGCGCAGCTACGGGACTTAACCTTAATTAGACTTAAAGAATATTGTAAAAGAACAGAGACACTTCGATCGTTGGAGCGGCACCATTGTTGCTCCAACTAAACATAATAAACCCAAATAAAACTCAAGACAAATATAATCTAAATACAAACAAGACTAATCATTGAACTTGGAAATCATGGAGCAAATTTGAACTACAGAATAATTATATTTCATGGCGACCGTGACTAGAGTCACAAGGAGCAGCGGATCGGGAAGATTGTGGCAATAATACAAGGAGGATATCCAAAAAAAACACGTCTGAGTGAGTAGAGTGTGCGTGATGGTACGTGGAGGTCAGAAAAATATAATTAACAAAAGAATAGCCCGCATAAAGTGGGTGCTATTTGCTCAATCAACACCATGGACGACGGCGCAAAAACTTTATAATGAGCTTGAATTTTTAAGGGAAACCCTCCAAAATAGAGTACCACAAGGCACAACTCCCTCAGCAAACCAAATACAAGTTATAAATCAAAAACTAATATCGAAACCAAATATTCCCAAGCCACTGCCGAAGCGAACACAAGTCTGCCCGACCGACTGCCCCGGACCTCTCAACTCTGCGGCATGCAATTCCGCATGCATGAAGCCGAATACCAGTGCGAAGACCAGCACCGGTACCGCCTGAGCCCATAGGCCCAGGACAGCAGCAGCAGATATCAAGCGTGGGAGGCACGACCGCCACCTGCGCCTTCAAAGGAGCGTCAGCGTAGCCAAACCGGCGACGACCAGCAGACGTAGAAGGAAGAAAGAGAAACCAACCAAGCTGGAAGCAAAATTTTTTTTTACCCATGCACTGCGTTGCATAATTTTTTTGATTGCACTACGATGGATATTTTTTTTATATAATATAATATTTTGTAAAATTGAGCGGAACCTTTTCTGCCCGATTAGAGTGTGCCCGTAAAGCTATGCAAAAAACTAGGTAGGAAGTTTGTTAATTTAAATCCGCAGTAATGCGATAAGTAAATTTTCAATAGAAGATCATAATAATTGTAATAAAACACTTTATACACATAAAATAAAAGTATATGCAAAACCCACCAAAATGACTTTGGACATAAAAACAGTGGATTCCACTGCCAATGTCATCAACAAGGTAGAATCTAGCAACATCGATTTATATTGGGTACATATACTCTTGATAATCATTGTTGTTATCATGTGCACCACTTTCTTTTACAAAATTTACAAGCTGCATAATAATTGTCTTAAAAAGAAATATATGAGCCAGGCAAATAATCTGGACAAAATTTAAAAATATATAGCACAACAACAATAATAGAAAACTAATTCTGTAATCAAATTGTTAGAATATAAGAAAATGGAATACAATAAAAATGAATAAATAAAAATAAAAAAAATATATATTAAATAAAAATGGCTACACTAAAGGCAATTAGAGACACGTATGATAGGGACATTCACTTTAAAGAAAGAATTCTGCAATTAGTTTCAGCAACTTCAGTGAGCATTTATGGTTTAGAAAATTTATATATTGAAACATTTAATTTAGATACTTCTCCACTAATACATTGCACAAGCACCCAAAAGGGAATTGTATTATCCACTATTCCAGGCGTACAAGTTAGATCGGTAGTAGACGAGCACCCAATACTAGGTAGAGCAATAGTAATGACAGTTTTCAAGAAATAATTCAAATCCATAATATAATGGAATGGAATTACAAGCTAATAAATAACAAAAAAAAATAAATATAAAAATATTTCAATATATTCTTCTTACAAAGTATGGCTAAACTAAAGGCATGGAATGGAACAAATTGTACGGGGAATTATCAAACATTAAAACTAATTTTGACAGATCATACAAGTCACTAACCCAGAATAGACCTATCCAAAAGAACACGGTTAGGAAGCATGTTGAAATATTAGTAGAGTGCTTTAATGAAGCGCGAATGCTAATACATGATCACAGGGAAAGATTAAATCAAGATCATTGGTCACAGGTATCGAAACTTTTGATACGACTACGATCTAATTTAATATTTGTTAAACAAAAGTTCAGTTTAGAAATATCGGTACCAACCGTTCTAAAAACTCCAATAGCAGTTGACACTGCACCTGACCCGGAATCAACAGAAACGAACGAATCGGAGTCAGAAGAGCTTCCCGAAGTAAACCTCAAAATAGAAGATGACGATTTGAATAATCTTACTATTCCGGCGGTATACACTGACCTGACAATTCAACAGATTCAGATACTTCGAGTGTAATAGAAAACAAAATAAGTAACTCTATCACAATGGCACAATCAAATATTGATTTTATTAATACAGCATCCAAGCTTGTACCAGTTTTTGATGGTAAGGCTGAAAATTTAACAAGCTTCATTGATGCTTTACAAATAATAGAATCAATAAAAGGCGAGCACGAAGAATTAGCTGTTTCCATAATTAAAACAAAGCTAAAAGGTGTCGCCAGAAATCTAATCGGTAATGAAACAACAATTACTGAAGTGATTTCCAGACTAAGAGGCAACGTCAAAGGCGAAACTGTAGAAGTATTATCAGCGAAGCTGATGAACCTACATCAGCGCAATAAAACTGCTAACCAATACACACAAGAAATTGAGCAGATGACGAAAGCCTTAGAAGGTGCTTATATAACAGATGGTTTACCTTTAGAGCTAGCCAGAAGTTATTCCACGCAACATGCAGTCAAGGCAATGACTAAAAATTGCACAATTGATAAGGTAAAACTTATCATGCAAGCTGGCACCTTTAGTACTATGAACGATGCCGTTTACAAATTTGTCAATAGTTGCACTGAAGCAACTGGACAGTCAAACACCGTCCTATATTTCAAGAACTATCCACAGCGCGGCTCAAATCGCGGACGTGGAAATTATAGAGGTAATTTTCGTGTTAACCACAATAACTACAACAACAATAACTACAACAACAATAACTATAACAACAATTACCCAAATAACAATGGAGGACGAGGCCATTATAGTGGAAACTATAGAGGTGGTGGTAACTCGAACCGAGGCCACAATGGCAATAACAAAAGCAATGTCAGAATTACCCAAAATACTAACCAAAACACATCGGAAAACTCCCAAAGCCCCTTAAATACTCAACAATAAAAGAAGTCAGAGTTCACACCATTAATCTCAGCCAAAATATATTCGTTTCATTTTTCAATGTAGCTACTGGAAAATAACTTATCTTTTTAATAGACACAGGTGCAGACATTTCCATTTTAAAAGAAACTTCGGATAACTTCCAAAACATCCAAGATGATTACATCATAGACATAAAAGGCATAAGTCAAGAAATAACCAAATCCCAAGGTTTAGTTTCTATGGAGATACAGACAACTTATATACATAATTCCACACGATTTTCATATCGTAAATTCACATATCCTTTTCCCATGCGATGGAATATTAGGCATCGACTTTATTTATTAAAAAATACAACTGTCAATTAGACTTCAAGCCATCTGAAGATTGGCTTAAAATAAAACCAAAAATTTAAAATTTAAATAAAAAAAAAAAAAAACATAATATTTTTAAAAATAAAAAAAAAAACCTACAAAAAAAACAAAAAACTAAAGAGAGGATTTGAACCGTCAGTATCCGAATATAATAGCCCATTGTTACTTGTTCCTAAGAAATCATCCCCGGGTCAAATGTAATAAAATGGCGATTAGTAATTGACTACCGCCAGATTAATAAAAAATTACTATCTGATAAATTCCCATTACCTAGAATTGATGATATTTTAGATCAACTAGGTCGAGCAAAATACTTTTCATGTCTTGACTTAATGTCAGGATTCCATCAAATTAAACTAGAAAAAGGTTCAAGAGATATAACGTCTTTTTCAACGAGCAACGGCTCATATCGCTTCAGGCGATTACCCTTGTAACGCAGTTCTCTGGCCGGGGTAAAATCTCAATCGGGGCCAAGGAACCTATACAAGAAATTTATATAGAAGGGTGGGACCTGTAGTAGGAATTTGTATGGGAAGGCTGTAAGGCGCCCTCTACGCGCAAGAGCCGTTGGTCAAACCGATCTGAACACGAGGTTGACGACAAGGCATTTGCTAGAGCGCCGCCTAGCGGCCTGCAGTGGGAATAAGGCCGCCCACACTGCTTGGTGCGAAACCCCGGGAGGATCCTGCTTGAGGCATCCCCTGGTGATAGGACGAGGTACTCGGTGGGTGATCGCACTGCTTGGTGGGGAACTTGGGTGAGACCCGTCAGTAATGCCCTCTGGTGGTGGAGGACGATCGCACTGCTTGGTGGTGAATTCGGATGATTCCGATTGGGGTTGACTGCGGGGGCTACGGGGAGGGGAACTCCGCTGGGCATGAACGGCGGGGTTGATCCGTTCCGGGTGAGCTTAGGGTCTACGTGTGTCTACTCTCCGGATATACTCGGAGCCTACGGGCGTCTACACTCCGGCTATACTCGGAGCCTACGGGTGTCTACACTCCGGCTATACTCGGAGCCTACGGGGGTCTACACTCCGGCTATACTCGGAGCCTACGGGGGCCTACACTCCGGCTATACTCGGAGCCTACGGGGGTCTACACTCCGGCTATACTCGGAGCCTACGGGGGTCTACACTCCGGCTATACTCGGAGCCTACGGGGGTCTACACTCCGGCTATACTCGGAGCCTACGGGGGTCTACACTCCGGCTATACTCGGAGCCTACGGGGGTCTACACTCCGGCTATACTCGGAGCCTACGGGTTTCTACACTCCGGCTCGGAGTCTACGAGGATTCTAAGGAGGGAGCTCTCGGCCGAAGTACGTCGTGTGGATGCGAAACCAAACACACGGCGTAGGTCGGGGTCGAGAACGGGTGAGGTTAGAAGGAGGGGAGGTGTATTGGTAAAGAAACAACACGCGGGGTTTTAGTTATTTAATTTCAGGCTTATATTTGATAATTAGTGAAAGTGGTTCCCTGGCTGCTGCCCTCACAATGGGTGTTCTTGCTTACGTGTAACCTTGAGGATGTCAACTGGTGTGGCGCGGATGAGCACGGTGAATCTCAGGCTAGGCGTTTGGCTTCTGAATCGCGTGTCGGAGGATTGTTTGTGCACACGTCTACTCGCGGTGAAAAGTCGAAACCAAAGAGACGAGACCGAGTCAGATTTCTAGCGATCGTACTTCAGTTCGCGTCGTGTTCTCTGACCCAGTTCCCTGTTATCGATCGTGATATCGATTGCCCCCCCCTCAGGAGTGCGATAGCGGGTTAAGGGGGTTCTGCCCGTGGTGCGTGTCTCGGCTTCAATTGTAAACACCAGCTTAATTAGTTTATCCTTAGTTACTATTAATTCATATTGATAACAGGGGTGGACTCCATGTCCAAATCTTAAAGCTAATTGTAATACTAAATATATACTAATATACTAAATGCTACATAGATGGACTCCGATCCTCGGCACGATTAACTTAAATTTGTACGCCCTCAGATTTAGGGCGTTACATTCCCTCCTTACTTCGGGGAAGGAATGAGATATTTCCCGCGCCGTTCGGCTTTAGGGTGACTTGGTAGGAGCCCTCCTCGGTCGGGACTCTGAAGCGCTGTCGCGCGGTGCGGGCTGCAGGACGTCGGGCGCAGATGGCCTGCCAGACGGCGACCGAGACTTGGCCGTCGGTGGTGTTACACGTCCATCCAGCCGGGAGCGGGGGTGGACGGTTTTCGGCGGCCGAGTGCTCCAGATCTGGGGCTGTCGTTGCGGCCTGCGGGTTGTCGTCCGGGTTCGAAAGCCATTCTTGTGACGGCTCCCAGCATAGTCTCTCCATGTCTGGTGAGATCTGTCCCAGCAGGAGGTCTAGCGTCGTGGGTGACATCCCCATCGCGGTATCCGATGGAGTGGAGGCTGCTGTTGTGGGGAGGGGAAAATCGTAGGCGACTGTCTCGGTGTCCGGTCCCTGTCCGCCAAGGGGGAGTGTGGGCTGGGCCGCCACGTCGAAGAGTGTATCCCTTGGTGGTGGTGGACACGGAGCTAGAGCGAGCGTGGGCTCCTTCCGTCGGAAAAGCTGCCAGGTGTTTTCCTCGTCGTCGCTGGGTTCCGACTCCCACTCCATGGCTTTGCCCGTAGAGAGGGTGGTGGATGGTCCGATGAAAAACTTTGTAGTCGGACCGCGGGAAAGCGTCGCGCACGGCCCGCGAGGGGAGGGAGGTGGACGGCCCTGGTCCCATCTCTTCGTCCTGCGAGTAGGTCACCTCAACGGGGCAATCCGTCGGGAATCCGAGATCTTCGGCTGCCTCGGTCTCGTCAGGCCCCATGATGCACAGGTGCACGGGGGACGGTGGGAAGGTCACGATGGGTACCTCGGGTGGCCGATACGGTGCTTCTATCCGGATCGTCTCCCAGCTGGTTCTCATCAGATAGATCCAGGACCCCTGGTGGTATCCGCAGCGGTCCTCGCCCGTGAAAACGTAGTGCGCCGCACCTTCCCTGGAATCGTCGTCGTCCTCCCGGCTGCTCACCGAGTGTGTCTCCGCGTTATCGGAGCCGCTCGCATCCTCGACATAGGGGGATTGCTCGTCCCGTTCTTCCTCCTCGTCGCTGGGGTAGGGGTTCGGCTGATCCCGGTAGTCCTCGCTGCGACCGCAAGGGTTATACTCCCTGTTGCTCTCCGCTGACCCGGCTGGACTCGGGTAGTGCTCATAGTGAGTCGGGTAGATCCGATGTCCGGCCGCGTCCGTGTAGTGCGGCGAGACTCCCCCGGCTCGGGGTGGCGTCGGCATCGACTCGTTCTCGGAGTCGCTGGATTCCGGGGCGCAGTTCGACGCTGCCCGGCGGGATGATGACCGAGCACAGGATCTGGGAGAGGATGGGGTCGCTCTTCCCGAGACTCCTGGCTGGCGCCTACCCGTCGGGCATGACCGGGTGGATCTCTCGGCGTACGCCGTTCCTGGGCGTAGCCGAGGATCCCGTGTGGTCGTCGACTGGCGGTTACCTTGAACGCTGGGTTCAAACTCCTCGTCGCTGTCGCCGGACGACAGTACGATGATGTCCATTTCTGCCCGTCAGCTCTGTGAAAGAAACAACTAAACTAGCTTAGTTCTATTGATGCTTAGCAATAGGGATAACTGGGCTGCAGCGAAAGAATCTCCTAACTTCATTCTTAAGGTCTTACTGGCTTATGACAAACTTAAACTTAGCGGGGACACAAAGGAAGGTTAGGGTACTTATGATCACCCCTCGTTGCTAATGGCGGTCGGTTGGTTCGGACTCTGGGGCTGCCCGGGTTGGTCGCCGGTGTCCTCTCTGGGAGTTTCGCTGTCTTCATCCTCGGGGTTACCTGTGGAAGAAGAAAAGAACGCTTTTAAGTCCCCAATATTAGCAAGTCGCCCCTTCCGCTGGCCAGGTAGGCGGATTCGGACGACGTTGGGTGACGGGAAAGCGACCACCTTATACGGTCCGTCAAACTTTGGGGCGAGCTTTGCTGCGAACCCCTCTGCTGCTTTAGACAGATGATGTTGTCGCACGAGGACCAGTGATCCCATTTCGGGCTTCCAGGTTCGACGACGCAGGTTATAATGTCTCCCCTGTTCTCGGCTGGCTTTTTGGAGATTGTTCCGCACGATCTGGAAGATCTCCTTCAGGCGTTCCTCTCTCTCCGATGGGCTCGAGGACGTCGTTGCTGTTCCGGGAGTTACGCTGTCGTACCAGGATCCGGGTAGCCGTGGTTCTCTAGCTTGTAGGAGAAAGGCTGGGCTATACCCGGTCGATTCCGAGACACTTGTGTTGATCGCGAGTGAGAGTTCTGGTAGCAACATATCCCAGGTGTTCTGCCCATTTTCCACGTACTGGGCGATCATAGTCTTCACCGTGCGATTCGCGCGCTCTGTCGGATTCTCTCGCGGGCAGTATGGGGCAGTGAATTGAGGTTCCACTCCCGTTTCCTTGAGGAAGTCTTTGAACGCCTTGCTGGTGAACTGTGAACCATTATCGCATACCAGTTTCCTCGGGGCTCCGAAGTGGCCGATGATCCGTTCGCGGAAAGCTCGTATCAAGGTCGCCGTACTTGCTCTGCGTAGGGGTATTAACTCGACCCATTTGGTGAATATGTCGAAGAAGACGAGGAGCATGGTATTCCCCTCTTTGGAGCGGGGC